TATCTGTGCCTGAAGCTGAGCAAGGTACTTGACCTCCTCCTACGCTCCGGCCAGTATGGACCGCTAGCGTCGGGTTCCCGGAGCTGAAGGCAAGCCCTCAAAGTTTCCCGGTGCTTTTAAAATGGGGGTAGTAGCAGAGTACTTATTCTTTAATATGAAGGTTATTGCATGAGTACAATGCACATACCTTGTGGTAATCTAAGAGATTTAGAACAGTGGGTCAGCGGAGTTAGCTGGCTGCGAGCAGGCCTCAATCCTCCTGGCGTTATCGTCCCAGCAGCTATTGGAGAGAGCCAAGACGAGCAACAACTGTGGGAATCAGCCCGAGAGTCAGGGAGTTCAATGAACCAGCCCGTGGCCAATATGGTGAAAATACCGGGGCTGTTGCCTCTACTGGGAAAAATACGGAAAAATTGCCGGTAATGGGGGGCGAGGCACCTGTTAAGTCCAAGCTAATTTGGGCGGGAGGCGAAGACAGGAGAATACTTTGAACCCAGGAAAGCCGGCACCGTTGCAGTGAGCCAAGATCATGCCATTGCACTCCAGCCTGGGCAACAAGAGTGACATTCCATCTCAAAAAAAAATTTAGAACAGTGTTTGGTATCTGGTAATGACCCACTTTTTATTAGCTATTAGTGTTATCTGGCCACAGCTGATTAGACCATGGGTTGGTTCCAGGACAACCATCACTGGGCTGGGAAACAGAGAGGCAAATGCCTCTTGGGGTTTCCTATTAATTTTACCCAGCAGGGCATACACTGTGCCAGGCTATTTTATATAGGTTCTATCAAATGTCCTCTTTGATGAAGAAAAATGCACAGTGAACAGTCCCTTTCACCTCCAAGGCATTCAGAAGACACTCAGTGGTTCTCTGGGATTGCCACACAATGGTCCTAAGGCTGAGAAACCTGGAACCCGGGAGTGCTTATATAATGATGTCCAGCCCCAGGCACCTCCGCGAGAAACCTGTTATTAAAGGCCATCTGTGGGAATGTTTTTAAAGAACATATCCAAGCCTGGCTAATATACACTGTAATATAAGATGTTGTACACCCACTAAGGCCTGTCTTATTGGCAAAAGAGAAGAAAACTGGAAGAAAGAAGCTGCAGTTCTACCAACCTGGGCATCCTGTCTCACGAGAGCATCGTCCAGATAATTTCCTTCATCCCTCCCACCCTGAGGATGAGAAAACAAACAAAAAGTAATTTGAGAATATACATGAAGATCTGGGGACACCATTAAGATAGCAGGTCTAGAGTAATGAGACAAAATACCATGAGGAGTGGGGCTTCAGACCCAGGGAGGAAGGACAGACATCCTCGAAATGTGCTCGCATTATTACCATGGCTCTGATGTGTGCCTAGAGGGCTGAGGCTCAGTGTGGCCCCTAACGTTGCATGGGTGCCTTTGCCAATAGAAGGAGAAGGAGAATAAACGCTTCCCAGGGACAGCTCCCTCCACTATCTCCTGGCCTCACCCACACCCCACTCTCCTGTGTCTTCCCAGCTGACTCATGCCTTCCTAACTGGCAAATCTACATTGATCAACCTCTGCCAAAAGGGGGTCGGGGTGTGCTTGTAGTTCCAGCTACTCAAGAGGCTAAGGTGGGAGGATGGCTTGAGGCCAGGAGTTCAAGGCATTGAGCTAAGATGGCACCTGTGAATAGCTGGTCTGGGAAACACAGCAAGACCTTGTATCTTTAAAAAAAAATAAAAGCTGGGGAGGCTGGGAACAGAGGAGAGTCAAGAGAATATGGGACCTATGGTGGGACTTGAGGATCCCATAAAAATGTCCCCCTACCCCTCAGCAACACCAGCTCACAAGAAGGCAGGGTGGAAGCCTCCGAAGAATGCTAACAAGTGACAAAATGGGCTACTTTCCTCTGGTTTTTAGGCTATTTTTATTGTTATACTGTCTCGATGTTCTATGGTCTAGGCATGGCTCATCAGAGTGGTAAATATGGGTGGAAAAGAAAAAGTGGGAAAGAAATATGAGACACAGGCAGGTGTTACTAAGTAAATATTGGAGACAAGAACAACGTGAAAATTGGAGATGATTTCTAGGGTTCTGCTTCTTTAAGTGTAGGAGGAACAGCAGCAACATTAACAGAAACAGACAAGTCAGGAAGAAGAGCTGGTTTGAAGGGAAAATGAGTTCCGGTTTAGTTCATGAGGACTGGTTTAAGGGGATAGTAGAATATCCATAAGGAAACATCTAAAAAGCAATGTGAAATGAGAGTCTCACGCTCAGGAAGGAGGCCGGGGATAAAGATGCAGTTGGGAAGTGATGTGAAATGTCTCGAGTCTCCAGCTTCCCTTTTCAGGCACCCCTGCCCCACCTAGCTCAGTCCTGCTTTATTTTCCAGCTGGAATATTCCAGGTAGCTTCGTACCTGGTTGTCCAGCCTCCAGTTCCCGCCACTGTTCATCCTACATGTCACTATTACATTACTCTTCTGAAAGTGCAGCTCCAGTCACATCACTCCCATCATCGTTGTCATCATCACGTCATCTACTGCTCCCAAATCAGTAAGTGTAAACTCCTCCCAACATAGAATTCCCGTTTATCCTCCCACCCTGTTTCCAGAATCACAAGCCCAACTGTTCAGTCAGTTGTTCCCTGAACCCCCTGTTCCCTGCCTTGTTCTTGCTGTTCTTCCTGTCTGGAATACACCCACCCACGTCTCTGCCTCTTGAAATTCTAGTAATCCTCCAAGTCCTCTCTGAACCAGCATCTCTGTCATGAAGGCTTTTCTTTGTTTCCACAACCAAAATTTCTCCTTGAATCTTCTTTTTCCTATGCGCCTCTCCTTTGGCATGTAATCTTTTCATGCTTTCTAGCAACTTGTGTACCTGATGTATTCCCTTATGACAATATATACTGTTAAGGCCCAGGAACTGCCTCTGAATCATCTTCATAACTCTCTATGCACTGAGTGACAGGGGGACCTGGCAGGTATTAGGTACTTGTAAATATCAAATTAAAGTAGAACAAATGGGCATGAAGGATTAGCCAGAGTCTCTGAAGGAGAAATAAGATAAAGGAACAGAGGGGTCCAAGAACAGCACCTGGGGAATATTCACATGTCAGGGACTGAAAGGATGAGAAAGGCTGGCAAAGGGGATAGAGTGGACATTCCAACAAAACCCACCCCCCATCAGAAGCAGTCACTCACAGCTGACAGAGACACCAGCACTCGCTGGAACATGAACGATGTGTCAGAGCGAATGTCATCTTCAAGGCTCCGTCCATATTCTAGCAAGAGAGTGAAATTAGCTACATCAGAATAAAGAGTCTTGCCCAATGTCCTGTCACACTCCAGAGCACTCTGTACCCTCAAGACCAGCCTGCTTATGGAAGCAGCTTATCACCCCACACACAGTTTTTCAAAAACTAAACTCTGGTAAAATGGTCAAGATAAGCTTATCCTGTCACAAGATATTCCTATTTTTGTTTTGTTTCTTTCGAGATGGAAACTCATTCTATTGCCCAGGTTAAGAGTCTGAAGTGCAGTGGCACCATCTCAGCTCACTGCAACCTCTGCCTCCTGGATTCAAGCAATTCTCCTGTCTCAGCCACCTGAGTAGCTGGGATTACAGGTGCGCCCCACCATGCCCGGCTAATTTTTTTATTTTTAGTAGAGATGGGGTTCTGTCATTTTGGCCAGGCTGGTCTTGAACTCCTGATCTCAGGTGATCCACCTGCCTTGGCCTCCCAAAGTTCTGGGATTACAGGCGTAAGCCACTGTACCCAGCCGAGATATTCCCAATTCTTAAAATGTGGGGTTGAAAAAGCTGGAGCTGAAATCCTCCCTCTGTGCTTCCTGCCACCCAGGGGTCTGATCTGAATGTGGTTCTCAGTGATGCAGAGAGAACCTGCTGCTTCACGGATGGAAGGCAACCACATAGGAGCTTCTGAACCCAGCTTTGGGGTGGGGCTGGGGTCGGAGCACCATCAAGGGCAAATCCTAGCATATGCCTTTCTGCCACGTCTCTCACTTGGGAGCTTCTGACAGGTTATCCACAAGAAGCTCCATGGCCAAGTGCAGTGGCTCATGCCTGTAATCCTAACACTTTGGGAGCTGAGGAGGGCAGATTGCTTGAGTCCAGGAGTTCGAGACCAGCCTGGGCAACATGGTGAACCCCCATCTCTACAAAAAATACAAAAATTAGCTGGGTATGTTGGCACATGCTTGTAGTCCCAGCTACAGGGGAGGCTGAGGTGGGAGGATCACCTCAACCTGGGGAGGTCAAGGCTGCAGTGAGCCATGATCATGTCACTGCACTCCAGCCTGGGCCACAGAGTGAGACCCTGTGTCACAAAAAAGGGCGGGGGAGCTTCAGCAAGAAATTAAAAATCACTTCTTTATTAATTTTTAAAAAGCAAAAACAAAAAGAGAAGCTCCAGCCCTTCATAGCCCTCAGGGAAGAAAACCCTCATTGGGCAGATGTGGGGACTGGGTTGCTAAATCCAGACTCCTAAGGTTTAGAATCTCCTGCTCTGAACACTTCCCACAAAGCTCTTATTGTGGTTGTTTTTCTTTCTATAAAGGTAACACATGCTGACCACAGAAGACTTAGGAAAAAACAAATAAGTAAAATGAAGGGACAAGGCGAGGAACTCCACTGCAATCTAGTCACCCAGAAATAATAATCATTGATAACATATCTGTAAATATCCTTCCTCATTTTCCCCCATATACACACATTATCTTCATTTATTTAAAAAATAATGTGTTATTAACTGTGTTAATTTTTTAAAAATGGGATCATAGCATACTATTTTATGGCTTGTCTTTTTCACTTATACGTACTACACCATTTAATAAATAGTTTAATAATATTGTTGGCCAGGTGCAGTGGCTCACACCTGTAATCCCAGCACTTTGGGAGGTCGAGGTGGGCAGATTGCTTGGGCCCAGGAGTTTGAGACCAGCCTGGGCACCATGGCGAAACCCCATCTTTACAAAAAATACAAAAATTAGCTGGGTGTGGTGGCGCACGCCTGTGGTCCCAGCTACTCAGAAGGCTGCAGTGGGTGGATTGCTGAAGCCCAGGAGGTCGAGGCTGCAGTGAGCTATGATGGGGCCACTGCACTCCAGCCTGGGCAACAGAGTGAGACCCTGTCTCAAAAAAAAGGTTAAATAAAAGAAAAAAAATACTCTTTGATATAAGTTTTAATGACTACATAACAGTTCATTGTGTAAGTGTATCATATTTTGTTTGACACTCTGCTACTGTTCGACATTTTTAGCTAATGTAGACAATACTGAATAAACACTGTGAGATCTAAACCTTCGTTCATGTTTAGTTATATTCTCAGGGCAAAAAGTCAGGCATTTTTTAAAGGCACTTCGTATGTATCACCCTCTGGAGGGCTCTAAGGGGGAGTGAATGGCTGTCATTCTGATTTGGCTGGAGGACATACAGTCCAGTCTGAAGGGAAGAATATGGGCCAGACAGCCCCTCCAGACAATTCCTTGGAATGCTAAGATCTGCTGGTGCCACCACTTTTGAACAAGTACCTTAGATTCTTTGTCTGATAATAAGGAACAACTTTCCAACTTTTAGGGTAATAAAATACTGCACTGGGTAGGCAAAATAGTGTGTCATCTTCACCTGAGAAATCTTAAGAAGCCAACAGACCACCATTTGCCTAAACAGGGATCTCTCTCAAAGCAGAGCTTGGCACCAAGGATCCCTCATGCTCAGTATTCTATGAAAAGTCTAATCAGCAGACAACTACCCGCTGCTACCCTCATTTTCTCATCACAGCGAAACCTCAGCCAGGGCCACTGCGGATGTCACGTACGCTGCTGGTAGGTTTGGCTTATGCGCCGGATCTCCTCAGGGGTCCGGGAGGCCAGGATCTCAATTAGGCAGCCCTCATCAGTGCCAGCTCCCTAAACAAGAAACCAGAGGACAGGGCTATAAGAGCCAGTTTACAAAGCTGAGGCCCAGACACAGAAGGAATACAGCCATGAATCTGCAGAGAATAAAGACAATCCACTGTGTTCTAGCAACAGGATTTGTTCACTTTTATTGTCCTGCCTGAAACCCAAAGTGTTTGCCATAATAATTATGAGTAATAACAAACATTTCTAGGTTGTTTACTATGTGTTGGTTACTCCAGGATAGGTACAGTTTCTGCCCTCTGGGAACTTAATTTTTCCTTGACCTCTTCTACTCTCTTCCTCTGAAGGGCAGAATTTTCTGGCAAAGACTTTGTCACCTCTTTGCTTTCCCAGAGCCTGGCCCAGAACCTTCCACAAGTCTGAGTATTTATTGACCTGGTTGAGGAGGATAACTGTACTCCTCGACTTATGATGAGGAGTACAATACGCTGAAAATTTTTAAGTAGAACCATCCTAAGTTGGGGACCATTTGTATTTGCATTACATACTTGGTCATTAAAATTCAGCAGACCCAGGCTAGGGCACAGTGGGTAGGTCATCTAGGGAAGCCAAGAACTCTTTCGCCAGTTCTAAGCCTATAGTAGACCTGGAGGCCCCCAAGGTGTCAGTCATAAAGTTACATATCTCAAAAGTAGTTAACATGACCACGAAGTCTCTAGAGCTGTACTAAAAGCCACAATTATAATCACTCCCCATTGAGCCACAGGAAGGAGTAAGTGATGCCCTTTTTGGAAAAGAATTTTTAAATGATCATTGGTATAATGTAATGTTGTTTTCAAGTTGTCATAAATGAAGGAAAATATCCTATACTTTACACCTGCCACTCTCAGAAGGCCTTGGTCATAGTTTCTTTCTTTTTTTAAAAAATTTAACTTTTACTTTAAGTTCAGGGGTACATGTGCAGTTTTGTTATATAGATAAACTTGTGTCACGGGGGTTGTTGTACAGATTATTTCATTACCCAGGTATTAAGCCTAGTACCCATTAGTTATTTTTCCTGATCCTCTCCCTCCTCCCACCCTCCATCCTCCAACAGGCCCCAGTGTGTGTTGTTCCCCTCTATGTGTCCATGTGTTTTCCTCATTTAGCTCCCACTTGTGAGTGAAAACATATGGTATTTGATTTTCTGTTCCTGCCTTAGTTTGCTAAGGATAATGACCACCAGCTCCATCCATGTTCCTCCAAAGGACATGATCTTGTTCCTTTTTACAGCTATTCCACAGTGTACATGTACCACATTTTCTTTATGCAGTCTACTATTGATGGGCATTTAGGTTGCTTCCATGTCTTTGTTATTGGGTGACAGTCTCTTAAGAAAGCACATCAGCGTTTGCATCAGCAGCACCAAGAGCACAAGAGGAAGAGCACAGACCTTCATGGCCCTTCGCAGCTCTTGCACGTCATACAGCACCGTAGGCGTCATCATCCCCACAATCACCTGCTCGAAATTGCCACTCAGTTCTGACTTCAGGTCGTCTATCAAGTCCTGCAATACAAGAAAGTAGCTCCACTTAACTGCGACAGCAAATGAGACCAGCCACTCTCCAGTGTGGTCCAGGGATGTCTGGGGTCTCCAAGACCCTTTCAAGGAGCCTGCAAGTCAAACCTATCCTCGGAATAACACTCAGATGTTATTTGCCTTTTCACTGTCATTCTTCCACAAGCATACAGTGGGGTTTTCCTAAGGCTATTTGACATTGTCTGTGCATTAACAACTGTTCAAATACTCTCCCCATTTTCAAGTACATATCTGTACAAGACCAGATTTTCTTCATATACCTCAACCCAAACAACATATCATAACAAATTGAAGTAGAAACAGATATGAGAAGCCATCTGTCTTCCATTAAGCCAGACATTAAAGAGATCTGCAAAATGTAAAACAATGCCAGTCTTCTCACTAAATTTTTTTGTTTTGGGACATATAGCTATTTTTTCATTAAAATGTTATTTATAGTAACATACCATACACTTATTGTTTTTACTAAGTTAACAAATATCTATTTTTAAATGCCCTCAGTTTTAGTTTCTAATAGGGCAAATATCAAAAGATAGAACCCACAAAACCAAAAGTCCTAAAAAATTTAAGAAGTAAAGGAGCCTTGAGGTTAATATGCTTGTAGACACTGATGTAAATGTACTTGCCTACTTAACAATATGTCTTGAATATATTTCCAAGTCAGTATTCACCGATAATCTTTTTAGCAGCTGTGGAGATTTCTATAGATAGGTGCAATATAATTTTTCTTTTTTTTTTTTTTTTGAGACGGAGTCTTGCTCTGTTGCCCAGGCTGGAATGCAGTGGCACAATCTCGACCTTACTTGCCTTGGCCTCCCAAAGTGCTAGGATTACAGGTGTGAGCCACCACACCTGGCCTAATTTCTTTCACTAGTCATCTGTTTCTATTTTTCTACTGTTATATACATAAGGCATTTAGTTGTATCTTTGTGATCATTCATGATTATTTCATAAGGCTCAATTCCTAAGATATAATTTCCAAATATAATTATTTGGAAAATGGACCGAATTCTAAAGATGTTTATTCACATTTCCTCCTAGAACGGGTCAGAGAGTTTAAGAATCTGTTTAAGATCAACTAAGAAGGAGCTGAATTGCTATTCTCTATTTTTTTTTTTTTTTTAGATGGAGGTCTCACTCTGTTGCCCACGCTGCGAACTGCTGGCCACTAATCCGCTCACGGCAGCCTCCGCCTCCCAGGTTCAACGCAACTTCTCCCTGCCTCAGCCTCCCAATAGCTGGATTACAGGCACCCCCCCACACCCAGCTAATTTTTTGTATTTTTAGTAGAGATGGGTTCACCATGTTGGTCAGGCTGGTCTCAAACTCCTGACCTCAGGTGATCCACTCACCTTGGCCTCCCAAAGTGCTAGGATTACAGGTATGAGCCACCACACCTGGCCTAATTTCTTTAACTAGTCATCTGTTTCTATTTTTCTACTGTTATATACATAAGGCATTTAGTTGTATCTTTGTGATCATTCATGATTATTTCGTAAGGCTCAATCCTAAGATATAATTTCCAAATATAATTATTTGGAAAATGGACCAAATTCTAAAGATGTTTATTCACATTTCCTCCTAGAACGGGTCAGAGAGTTTAAGAACCTGTTTAAGATCAATTGACTAAGAAGGATCTTAATCGTTCTTCTTTTTTTTTTTTTTCTTCAGATGGAGTCTTGCTCTGTTGCCCAGGCTGGAGTGCAGTGACATGATCTTGGCTCACTGCAACCTCCACCTCCTGGGTTCAAGCAATTCTCCTGCCTCAGCCTACAAAGTAGCTAGGATTACAGGTGCCTGGCACCATGACCAGCTAATTTTTGTATTTTTAAGTAGAGATGGGGTTTCACCATATTGTCCAGGTTCGTCTCAAACTCCTGGCCCCAAGTGATCAGCCTGCCTTGGCCTCCCAAACTGCTGGGATTAGAGGTGTGAACCACCACACCTGGCCTCGAGAACATCTTTAAACAAGACAAAGGATCGATCTTTTAAAACACAGGGTCACTTCAGGATCCTAGATCAGGAAGAGGCCCTGCTTCCTGTTGCTGCCAAGTCAGCCAGACAGAGCAGGAAAGACTGTGGCCTACCCTGCCGATGGTGCTCTTGTAGGCCGTCCTGATCTCCTGGCGCTGGGCGGTGTTGCGGTAGGCAAGAACGCTAATAATGGCGTCTTCATCAGTGCCTGGGGACAGAACGGAGACAGCAGGTGAGTGTAATTGGAGAGAGGAATGAGAAAGCGGGTTCCTCTGCGGACACTGGAGTTACCCAAACACACGCAGAGGACTTTCTAAGAAAAGAGGCCCTTATTCAGAGGGTTTTCTACTTTTTGGGAAACAGATGCTAGGTTTGGGACTTAGCCTCTCCTTTAATTGGCTGTTTACTACTGAACAAAATGGTTAACTTTCTAAACATTAGTTAGTTTCCTTATCTGGAAATGTGAATGATGACAGTGATTTCCTTCGATAGGTTGCTGCAAGTGTTAAACAATATAATTAAATGCCTAGCACTTACTAAACATTTAATAAATGTTGACTGGAGTAATTATTCTTCCTGTCCTCTAGAATTTTATTTTATTTTATTTTATTTTGAGAGGATGTCTTGTTCTGTCGCCCAGGCTGGAGTGCAATGGCACGATATCAGCTCACTGCAACCTCTGCCTCCTGGCTTCAAGTGATTCTCCTGCCTCAGCCTCCTGAGTAGCTGGGATTACAGAACTGTGCCACCACCCCCAGCTGATTTTTGTATTTTTAGTAGAGACAGGGTTTCACTATGTTGACCAGGCTGGTCTTGAACTCCTGACCTCAAATGATCTGCCCGCCTCGGCCTCCCAAAGTGCTGGGGTTACAGGTGTGAGCTACTGTGCCCAGTCATCTCCTCCAGAATTCTTTTCATGTCTTTTGAATCTCCTATCTCTCTCTTCCATATTCTTGCCTTTTCTTTGTTTTTATCTTTTTATCATCTCCTCTGAGTTTTGAAACAATTCAAACTTGTCTTTTAATTCACCAATTTGGCATTTTGCAGAGTTTAAATTGGCTGTAACTATGTTCACTGTGTTTTAAAATCTGGAACTATGTTTTTCACTTCTAAGCTATCTTTCCTGAACACAAATGGTTCCCTTTTAGAACTGCTGACAAATTACCATGATACAACATCTTACTAAAACTTTAAGCAAAAATTACAAATTAAAAATGTTCTAAGTTTTGCTTGCCTGTTTCTTGCAACAGCTTTTACAAAGAGACTTTATTCTGATTTTTCAAATTGGTCCCTTATCTTTATAACAACTGGATGTTCATAAATGTTTGGTGAATCTTCTGTTTCCTTGTTGTTTATGCTGTATGGGGGGTTGGGATAGGTTTCAGAAGTGATTCTACTGAAAATATTTCAGGGAGAAGTGAAAAAATACAGCTTCACCTTAGTCATCCTTGGCAAGATTAGAGATAAGATGTGAGTTGTGGGGAGGAAGCTATAGAACTTTAAGTTTACATACCTTGGGGACCTACTTTCTGTTCCTTTTTTTTTTTTTTTTTTTTTGAGATGGAGTTTCGCTCTGTCACCCAGGCTGGAGTGCAGTGGCACAATCTTGGCTCACTCCCTCTGCCTCCCAGGTTCAAGCAATTCTGCCTCAGCCGCCCTAGTAGCTGGGATTACAGGCGCCCACCACCACACCCAACTAATTTTTTTTTTGTATTTTTTAGTAGAGATGGGGTTTCACCATGTTGGCCAGGCTGGTCTTGAATTCCTGACCTCAGGTGATCCACCTGCCTCAACCTCCCAAAGTGCTGAGACTACAGGCATGAGCCACTATGTCCAGCCATGTTCCTATTTTTAAAAAGGAGAGGACAATCCATACAACAATAAGTTTCTCCCTTGGCACTCTCAGCTGGGAGGGGATGTGGAGGGGGCAGAGAGGGTTCATTACCTTTTGTTCTCTCCCTGTTTCTTTGAAAGGGATCACTCTTCTCCCCAGTCAAGCCAAGCTGAAATTCTCAAAATAGACTTGATTTTTTTTTTTTTTTTTTTTTTTTGAGACAGAGTCTGTGGCCATGCTGGAGTGCAGTGGCACCATCTCAGTTCACTGCAACCTCCGCCTCCCGGGTTCAAGCGATTCTCCTGCCTCAGCCTCCCTAGTGCTACCACGCCTAGCTAAATTTTGTTTTAGTAGAGATGGGGTTTCACTTTGTTGGCCAGGATGGTCTTGATCTCTTGACCTCGTGATCTGCCCACCTAGGCCTCCCAAAGTGCTGGGATTACAGGTGTGAGCCACTGCACCCGGCCAATAGCTTTGATTTTTTCACCCTCTCCTTTCCTCTACATTCAAGTCCACTGTCATGAAAAATGTTGCTTTACAGCCTCTTTTGCATTCTTTCCCTCTTTTTATTTCCTACCATAACCACTCCAATTCAAGATTTCAGGGTTTCTTCTTAGACAAGTGCAGATGTCTGCTAACGAGTATTCTTAACTCCTGATTGGTCTTCCCAGAGTCTTGCCAGATTCATTTGTGTAAAAAGAAAAACTCACAATGTCCCTCCCCTGCTCAGAAATACACAATGGCTCCCTATCATCTACTGGATTTACTTTAGGCACAGCAGCCTGACATTTGAGACTCTACAATATCCCATTCACTATTGTAAACAGCCACATAAAAGGACACTAGGCAGCCAAATTCACAGACTCAGCTCTTGAAATATTGTGCTTTACCCAACTGTGCTGCACTCCACGCTCCTGACCTCTTTCATTACCAGTCTATTGGTTTATATGTCTCCTTAACCCCCTCCATTTAGCATCATGATTCTGGCATATGTTGTTTCCCGGCCAGTGCCCGTGAGACATCCCCCCTGTCTGTGATTCTTATGGGTGGCTTTCTCAGTAGCAACCCTAGAACCTCCTTCTGGTACCTGCTTTCTCAGAAAGCTCCTGCTTTGCAAGTACCTCCTGCTGATACAGGAGATAGAAAGAAATTGTTTAGGCAGATAGTGAGGGCAGGCCGGGTGTGGGGGCTCACGCCTATAATCCCAGCACTTTGGGAGGCTGAGGTGGGTGGATCACTTGAGGTCAGGAGTTCAAGACCAGCCTGGCCAACATGGTAAAACCCTGTCTCTTATTTAAAATATAAAAGTTAGCCGGGTATGGTGTTGGGGGCCTGTAATTCCAGCTACTTGGGAGGCAGAGGCATGAGAATCACTTGAACCCGCGAGGTGGAGGTCGCAGTGAGCCGAGATCATGCCAGGGCATTCCACAGCCTGGGTGGCAGAGCGAGTTTCCATCTCAAAAGCAGAAACAAACAAACAAACAAACAAACAAACAAAAAACAGAGAGTGAGGGGAAAAGAGTCCTTGGGAGAACTTCCCTTCTAACAAAAAGCAGCCCCCAAAATCTTTTTTTTTTTTTTTTTCTAACAAAGAGAAGCCTGAAAGATCAAGCTACAAATATAGATAAGGAAACTGAAAGCTTGCACAAGGGAATGCTGGCCACTGTGCCAATAGAAAAGGGCTACCTGGGGGCCAGACATGTCCACCATGGAAACTTCATCTTCCCTTTTTTGTTAGCATGTGTACAGTAAGAAAGAAATGTAAGAAAGTACAGCTCAGGCTGAAAACCCACCTGCATAATAAAAGACTGGGGTACCGGCTGCCAGAGATTCGTGCCCTATGCAGATAGCCCACCTGTTTCTAACTGGTTTTTGGTGCCCTGTGTAAATCAGACATCAGCCCTCCCCATCCCTGGCCCCTGCCACAGATCATCTATAAACCCCTCTGCATTTCACTGTGAATTGGCAACCCATTTTTCAGGAATTCCTTTCTGTAGCAGACAGCTAGTCTCTTTCTTTTCCCTACTAAACTTCCGCTCTTAACCTCACTCTTTGTGTGTCCACATCCTTGATATCTGTGGTCATGAGACAACAAACCTTGGGTGTCACCCCAGACGTGGCCACTTCACTGCTGCAAGACACTTTTCTGTGTATTTACCATGACTCCCCTAGACCTCAGGACATGCCATTCCATTCATCTGAAACACCTTGTCTCTTAACTCTGTTTACGGAAACTCAATCATCTCCCAAGGTCCATTTTAACTTCTACATCCTCCAAGAAGCTTTGCCCACTGCCCCCAAGTGAAACGTGATCTCTTCTCTCTGAACCCCAGTGGGATCTTATTTGTGCCCCTCCTGTTACTGTTATATTATGAATTAATCATAGTTATTACTGTGCATGCCTTAGCTGTGCTAGCATTCATAGACTATTTGAACACAAGAACTAGGGATTATAATCCTTGTCTCCTCCAACAGTCTGCCTTGCATTGGCCCACACATAACAGGCACTGAAAAAGGATGGTTGTGCCAAATGTCTCCTCACCCTTTATGTTGATAATCCTGAATGTGACCTGGGCTACATTTTGAATTATGGTGTCCTTGCAATACACCAAAGAATTAGGATAAACTGAAAAAAAAGGTGGGTCCTGTACTTTTCTCTTTTTATGAAAAAGGGAAAAGAAGAAGATACATAGATTCAGGACAATGTTCTCTTCAGAGATGGGCAGCAGCATAGAACAGTGGCTTAAACTCCAGCTCGGGAATCAGACATGAGGCAGCTGATCATGCAAAGATGAAAGGAAAACGTTCTAGGAATTACCTAGAATCCTGAATATACCACTTAGTAGTTCTGGGACCATGGGCAAGTTAGCCAACTTCAGTCAGTATACTTTACCTTCTCAACAGTAAAACAAGCTGCTGTCAGGATTAAAACAGATAACCCATGGAAAGCATCTATCTCTATGTCTGACGCATAGTAGAGCTTAATAAACATTTGCTATTATTGCTACTGTTGTTGTTACTGTTAGCAACCTTGAGGCTGAGTAAAATGAACTCTTTTTGAATAGAAAGATGGTCTCATGGTCAAGTGTTTTTACCCTAGTCTCAAGGAGATTCTAAATAGCAGCTAAGAACCAGAGGATCTGGCCAAAAGTTCACTGAGACAAGGTCTTAGGGGCAGAGGCTAGGCCAGGTAGCTTGTAGTGCACATAGAATCACTGTACCTACCCAGCATGAAGGTGGTGGCCCCCAAGGAGCTAACTGGAGGGTAGCATGCTGGAAGACACTACCAGTGTTATAGGAGGCAAAAATAAATTATTTAGGTAGACATTTAGGGTAAAGTGAGTCCCCAGCAGAAAACTTTCCTTTTAACAAAA